TTGCGTCCTTGTTTCGATAAACCTGTGTTGGTTTTCTTTGTTCCAATATCGATAATTTTGAACATTGGGTTCATTATTTAAGATTAACGTGCATTCGTCAGTGAAACATATGTTTTTAAAAATCCGTGTTTGCTATTTCCATCATATCAAAACAAAACGTCTGCCGCCGTATTTCGTCCCCATCTCGTAGCTCTTGGTGCTTTTCATATTTGAAGGAATAGTATTTATGTCGTTTCAAAATTCGAAACGCTGTAGTGTGATATATTCCTATTTCATCCTCAAGTTTCCTTGTGCTGATTTTTCCATCGTTCTCTTTCACGCACAATAAAACTTCCAAGTCGGTATCATTTCTTGCATCTTATCTTTGTTCCTGCCTTGCTTCACATCTGCAGTTATTTATTAGGGTACCTTTGGTCAAATCTCTGGATATTCCTTGCGATTGTAAATTTTCCAGGTATCGGTCTATTCGGATACAGAGCAGCAAATATATCCGACACCTTTTGATAACTATTTCCTTGATAATACCATTTAATCATCAATACTTTTTCTTCGGTAGTGTAATTCATGGCTAATATTTTCGATGTAGGTATGAGTTTTTAATAATAATAATAAAGCATTAAATAGATAAATTTCTGAAATGACAACTTCATTTGACAGTTGTCTTTTACCTTGACTGGTGCTCATAAGTAAATACAGGGCCATAAGAAAGGACAAATATTTAAAAAGAAATCGGCGATGACTCGTAAACGGGCTAATCAAAAATATCTAAAGTTATTCTTTTGAATGTGGGTTTTAGTGCTCTTCAATAAACCTAAATAGAATTATTCTCTAAAATAATTAGGGAAGCATTAAAATTTACATGGGATTTCCTATGTCCCGCTCGACGATTCAACACCCGGATGGATTTAAAGCACACCCTGTATATTTTTTTTCTAGGATGTAAAATAACCGTTAATGATATTGCGTCATCTTTTCACCTGTTTGTAGTACTACCTGCTACTATTACCATACGAAGATTTTCATTCATTCAATTAATGAATAATGTGATCACAAAAAATCTGATGCAATATTTACTAAACATTGCGGCACTTATAGCGGCAAGGTTGTTGCCACAATCTGATCGTACGACGGTATTTTGAAAATGACGTGTTATACACACCTTCCAATTCTGACAAATAAACACACAAACATGTTTTCCAATTCTTTAATATTGTTTTTTATTAATTTGCAATTAAGTTTATGGCGCTTTACTTTAATAAAGGAATTTTATAAACAATGTTTTTATTTTTGTTATTTGTATGTTCAAATTGCGTTGGAATAATTTTTTATTCTTAATCTAAGGGAATAATAATATACTAAGGGTCGGCACTTCTGGTCTTGGGTGCCGGTTTTCATGTGTACGAAGAGTACGGTAAACACGCTTAGTAAAATAAGATGTACTAAATAAAGACAGAAGGCGAGTATTTTCCCAAGCACATGGAATCTAGCGTCAGATTAGGTAGTTATGTCATAAATACTTCGTATTTTTGCTCACTAGATTGCCAACTAGATTGCCATAACGACTCATTCCTATACATGTAAACGCCGACCTAAAGGTTCGCTTGCCAGTAGGGTATATCTAGATACCGTGCGTCTCAAAAGTGGTCCAGCCCAATAACTTTTAATTTTTCAGTTAAAAAAACGAGATTTGGTATATTAGTATATGACATAAATTAGGATTGATTGACGTATTCAATTGTTTTCGGTCACTCCCTGTTTCACCGGAAATGACTACAACTTTTGATTTTTAAATCGCACCCTCGGTATTTTTTTCTTTCTTCGAATAAGACTCTGAATAGGAATGACATATCATGTCAACTTTTGACATTTGCGCATATGGTTTATTTGAAATTATAACATGCAGTTCATAACGAAAAGTTAACTCAAATACCAAGTGTGTGGTATCAAATTATTCGTAAAAAAATGTTTTTTCCAAATATGCTAATGAGCCACCCTCGTTCCATTTGTTGTTTTCCAAAAAAATAAAAAAAAATAATAATTAAAATATGATTAAAAATACGATTTGGGCATCTTTTAACCGATCAGGACAAGACACTAATAACATTAGATTATCAAATCTATTTTTCCAAGGCTCCTTGATTAAAAATTAGTGTTTTTAGTCATAGTACTCTAGATTGAAATTTAACATACGATTTTTTATTAAGCGAAAATATCAAAAGTTGACATATGATATGTCTTTCTATTCAGAATGTCATTGTCTGTCGAATAATGTAAAAAAATACCGAGGGTGTCATTTGAAAATCAAAAGTTGTGGTCCTATTTCCGGTGAAACAGGAAGTGACCAAAAACAATTGAATACGTCAATCGGTTCTAATTTATGTCATATACTAACATACCAAACCTCGTTTTTTTATCTGAAAAAATAAAAAATTATAGGGGTGAGCCACTTTTGAGACGCAACCGGTATAGTTCTCATTTTATTCTGTTCTTAGTCGGATGCCTATGTGTGACTAGTGTTTTTAGTCTTATGCCTATGCCTACCTATACGAATTCGGTTAAATGAGATAAAAGTTAAAAAATGTCTATACCTATGTGGCGGATTCATCTCTCCAAAAAATCCTTATCTCTTATCTCGCCACTGCAAAAAAAAAAATAAAAAAAAGTTGCGTTATTAGAAGTTTGAAAAACACATGGAAAAAAAATCCCGGTATCTTGATTAGTTTCCTATTTATGCAAAAAAATGGAATCAATACGTTTCTTTTAAATGACAGTTTTTGGAACTATTATATCCATTGAAAACTAAGTTGGTAGATTTATATTTTTTAATATTCTCTGCCAATTAAATGCCATTCTCCTGGTCCATATGTTGTGTATCTTCTTTCCTCCAAAAATCTTCCTCAGCATTTTTCATGCCCAAATCTCTAGCCTCGAACTTTCCGTTGCATTGAACGTCCACGTTTCACATGGTCACTATTGGTCGTATCATTGTTTGGTACATTCTGATTTTTAAACTTCTAGAGATATTCTTACTCTTAACAATTTTCTGTAGCGCGCTAACACATCTATTTCCTGCCATTATTCTTGCCACAATTCTCAGCATCTGTTTGTAGACATCTTCCTTTCTTAAAGTTTTTCCTTCTCAAAACTAATATTTAATACCATTACAACTTATCTTTTACTTTTAATAAAACTAAAAGATAAATTATAATGGTATACAGTTATTAATGATACAAGTTCGATACGAACATCATAATGAAACGCGTGTAACGTTAAGCTACGAGGCGTTAGCCGAGTGGCTTAGTTACACAAGTTTCATTAAAAAGTTCGTATCGAACGTGTATCATTCAAAATTTAATCTACGACGTGACACGAGGGACGATCCAAAGAGATTTGATTTCATTTAAAATATCAGAGATATCCTCCTAAAAATTAAAATTCAAAATTATCAGGTGCCCATATTTTTTCCATAACAAGGGGCCTATGCAAGGGGCCGTTCTCTGCCGGAAACACTGCGACCTATATTAAGTCGACGCCGTGGTAACCATGCTTGTTAATTGTTTCCATTTTGACTTTGACAACTCAATTATTGATGTTCAATTTTGTGTTAAACGTTCAGTTTTAGCAAAAAGCAAAAAATAATATTAATATGGGTGATTCTGATTCTGAAAGTGTCCCTTCGGATATTGAAGGCATTGCGCAAAACGTTGTCGATTCCCTACTTCCCGAAAAATCCAAACAAACGTACGAGCAAGCCTATGTAAAACTTGAAGGTGTAAAGGGAAAGGAATCAAGAATAGTAGTAACGAAAAGGTTCTCCTAGCATATTTTGAACATCTTTTAAAACACAGGAAGGCTTCATCACTTTGGGTATATTATTCTATGCTACGTTCAGTTATATCAGTGAAGAAAAATACAGATATTAGTAAGTACGTCCATTTAATTGCATTTCTAAAAAGAAAATCGCAAGGATTTCGGTAAAAAAAATCGAGAATTTTAAGAAAAGAAGACATAACTCGTTTTTTGTTGGAAGCCGATGATAAAACTTATTTCCTGACAAAAGTTTCATTGATAGTGGGACTTGCGGGAGCCTGCCGGCGTATCGAGTTGACAAATCTGCAGCTGCAAAATGTTAAAGATGAAGGACAATGCATTCATGTCATTATTCCATTTACGAAAACAAAGATATCACTAGATTTTTTTATAACGACAGGGAATGTTGAAGGAATAAATATGGTGGAAATGGTTCGAAGATATATAGCTATGCGGCCAAGCAACACAGAGCATACTCGATTTTTTGTGGGGTACAGAAATGGAAAATGTATTAAGCAATCCGTTGGCACTAATACTTTAGGGAAAATAGGCCGTATAAAATAGCATTGTTCCTAAGTCTTCCAAATCCACAACAATACACTGGACATTGTTTCCGTAGATCGTCTGCGTCTTTGCTTGCAGATTCAGGAGTAGATTTATTAACTGTTAAAAGTTAAAAGACATGGTGGTTGACGCTCTAACACAGTGGCATAGAGCTATATAGAAAAATTCCAAAGAAAATAAGAAAAAAGTGTCATGTAATATTTTAGGTAACATTTCTGGCAATGATCGGTCTTCAACAAGTTCAAGCACTCTTTTTGCACAAATTTACTTTCTAAAAATTCAACTCACCTGTCATCGTCTGGAATTAATTTAACCAATTGTACTGATATTATAATTAATGTTTACAATAAATAAACGTATTTAGGTACCTTTTTTTGCTTGTTTCTTATTTCAAAATTTGCATGAAAGCCATAATGACATCCAAATGACAATGTTAAATGTGTCATAATGAGACATTGTCGTAGATTAAATATTATTATACGTTAAATTTCTTTGTTTTAATTTAAGATGATTAGTGGTCAGTTCGTAAACAGTTCTGCGTTGAAAAAATATGTTATGCAAAATTACTCGATTAATACTGATTTTAACATAATTATATTCATATGAATAATAAAGCAGTTTAACATCTTTTGCGGTGACATTATAAAAGCTCAGCCGGAAAATAACACCTTCTCAGTGAAGCTTAGATAAAGTAACATGTGACTATGGTATGTACAACCCTTTCTAAATGTGTATATATTTTTTTAATATTAATTTCACTAGATATAAATATTTTATTTGACTACTGTGCTAAAGAATATTATTTATTATTGCTCTTAACATTTATTTTTTTTTTAATTTAATATTTCTTTATTAAAAATATCACACAACAGTGAAATTGATAAAAATTAGTATTTAACTTCGGTATTTCTTTTTCAGACAACATATACTGATAAAGGGCCTAGGGTAAGTAATTATTAAATTTGACATATCGTAATAGTTCATGATAATTTTCATTTCATTTGAAGGGTCCAGGGGAAAACATGATAAGCGCCATTTTAATAATTTTACAGGCGAGCCCTGAACGGCTGCGGTTGGTGGTTATCAAGTTCTTTCCGTGTATGTATATTTTTACTAGGCATGGCCCTGCAAATCTTATACATTTTGTAGGGACCAGTTAGACCTACAAATAAATACTATAAATAATATTGTAAAACCCTATAATTAAGAAATTAATAAGCGCTTATCATGTGTTCCCCCTGGACCCCGTATAATGCCTTATAATATGTTTTTTGAGTTAATATTACTTTTATTGTATTTTTCACATTCATTGAGTTAAGCAACTAGAATTTAATTAAAAACTGAATGTTATACAGGGTGGTCCGAACTGTATTCCGGAAACTTCGGCAGCATATTCTGCAGATAAAAATAAGTAAAAAAGTTCGTATAAATGAATGTCCTAAAACGCTTAGTTTCGGAGATACAGGGTGTAGAAGTTTCATTATTATTTCGATTTTTTCCAAATAATTTTTGAAGTAACGTCAATATTTGGATGAAAGTTGATATCTGGGAGTTCTTTGACATGAGAAATTTGATTTTGATATCAATATGACTACTACTAGTAGAGGGCGCCACCTATATATTTTTTAACTGGTTTGAAGAGTGATAACTTTTCGTCCGTATCTGTATAAAACTACTGAGTAAAAAAATATACATTTACGACGTTTTTTACGTAAAAAAAGGTCTCTTGGTAAAAATCGCTATAAGTAATGGTTTTCGAGATATTTGGAATCGAAATTATCAGTACCTGTCATCATTGACATAAATTAACATGTTGACTAAATAGTTATTAGACTGAAATCATAAATTTGAAATGTTTTTGTGCTAAAAGTTCAACAGAAACTGTTTTATTATCATTTTTTGCAGAAAAATGTATGATTAATTTAAAAAAATAAAATTTTTCCAAATTTATTATTTCAGTGAAATAACTATCTACTCAACGTGTTTATTTTTCGTCAATAATGCCATGTATTGACTTCCATTCTAAATATCTTAAGAACGGTTGCTCGTAGCGATTTTTACAAAGAGATATTTTTTACCTAAAAAGTCACAGGGACGTATATTTTTTCGCTTGTTAGTTTTATACAGGTACGGACAAAAAGTTATTACGCTTTAAACCAGTTAAAACACATGTAGGTGGCGCCCTCTACTAGTAGAAGTCATATTGACATCAAAATCAAATTTCTCAAGTTAAAAAACTCCTAGACCAATTTTGATCCAAATATTGACGTTAATTCAGAAATTATTTGGAAAAAATTGAAGTAAAAATTAAACTTCTACACCCTGTATCTCCGAAACTAAGCATTTTAGGACATACATTTATACGAACTTTTTTACTTATTTTTATCTGCAGAATATACTGCCGAAGTTTCCGGAACACAGTTCGGACCACCCTGTATATTTTAAATGGACATCTTCATTTCATATTTTATAAAATTCATTTAAAATTGAAAGAATTTTGATATTAAGCGTTCTATTTCTAAAATATGTTTTCTTGGTAATACATATATTTATTATGAATCGAATTGATAAAAAATGATAATAATAACCTTCTTCAACAGATTAGCCATCAGTTGGCCAGTTAGTTGTCCATTTAACTTATATATTTTTAAATTTTATATTTTTTATATAAAAACAAGTTCTTGAGTTTCATTCATAGTTCTAAGAAAGTTTGTTAGACACTTATCGATACCTATAAGTTTTAAATAATGTGAAATACTAAAGTCTCACTAGAACAGTTATAATCTTACCATCCTTGGATCTAATATAAGATTAAATAATATAAATAGAGTTATAGATTAGTATTATATTCTATAACTATAAATTTATATAATTCTAGCTTTATACAGTTGAGTGTACCATATTATCGCAAAAAAACTTCCATTTTTTTTACGTGAAAAAGGTCTCTTGGTAAAAATCGCTATGACTAAAGCTTGATTTTCGTGCATGCGTTATACGTTGATACGATGGTCCGACGGTGCTCTGATTGGTCATAGCGTTTTCGCGCCACTTTTTATCCGTAAATATTTTACTTCAGCCCGTCAACGGACCCGTTCGTACGATAACGCATCGATAACGGACGTTTTGATACTTTTTTGACAAATTTAATCTAAACTTAATAAAAATATAAGTAAAATAGCAAAATCGTTATGGAAACGAAAATATAAAGCCGCGTATAAATATGCCGAGGCAAGTACGAGACAAACCCGAAACGAGTATGAAACGAGGCTATAGCAAATTCTTTCCAAAAGGCGTACTAAAGCTGCGTATAAATATGTCGAGACGAGTGCGAGAGACACCCGAGACGAGTCAACCTCAAGCGGATTTGAGGTTGACTCGTCATATTTGGACGGGGTCTGAGCTTCGAGCCGAGCCTATGCCCAGCCGGACGGCGTTGTCTCCGTTTTTTCCGGAGCCTTTGGCGAACCATCAAAAGGATTGGAGCGTCTATTCAACCAGTGGCGTATACACCGCGGCTCCGCGGAACAAGTGCCTCGAGTCTCAAGGGGCTCGGATTCCACATCCCATTTTTAAAATATAAATATTCTTTCCTTTATTTGTAATAATATTAATAATGCATCCTAACTAGAAAGATGCAATTTTGTCTTCTCTAAAATAGTATAGGTAAGTTAGCCAATCTCATATACAAAGATTTATTAGTGATTTCTCTTATAAAAACATGAAAATTTTATGAAAAATGAATAAACGTAATGAACTTTTCGTCGAGTTATTAACGGCTCAAACGTAAATTATGCAAACGAATTATGCGAGTTTGTTGAAAAAGGTGGCCATGCTATCAAAAGTTCCATAGGGTACTCTCATAAATAAAGGGAATCGACAAAGAAAGGAACGATCCGATATAGAAAAATCCAGAAATTTGAGTCTTCGAATCTTTGAGTCTAAGTCGAATTAGGTCTTATCTTACAGCGCTTTCAGATGGAACGGAGCGTCCGCGAGGGCCGTCCGCGACTTCGAGCAAGTACCATGAGCTTATTGAACAATTTCACATGGGTCGCGTATGCTCCGTCCGGATGAGCTATCTTGAAAAAATATCCGTGCGGACGCTCTGCGCGTACGGTCCGCTCCATCTGAAAGCGCTGTTACTCTATTTAAAAATTTTATAGATATACAAACCACATACAAAATATATTTTTGAATAAAATAATTAAAGACTCAAAAAAAAACACTGGCAGAAGGCTCCGCCGCCGCCGCTGCCGTTGCGTTATCTCCAGGTATCTCAGTCGGCGTTCTCCAGTTTTTTTTTAATGTAAACATTCCGAATATAATTTAAATTTATCAGGAATTCCTTTAATTTATCTAGCTTGTTTTTTTGCCTATTTTGAAATTGAACAAACATATACAGGGTGTTTCAAAAAACATGTTCCATCTCTCGTGGGGAAGTTCCTCACGTAAAAATAAGATTTATTTTTTATATCAACCAATCCAATTCTGCTTTGATTCGTAGCTACAGGGGGTTAAAATAGGGTTCCCAACCGGCCTCTATTCCAGAAACAGTCCTCTTTTTGATCTGATTGTCCTCTTTTCTCTCACGTACTGAAAACTTTGTTGCATACTAACTTCAAAATCTAAAAAATATTCGTTTATCGCCACAATGTTTTAAAGAATTGTTAATCTGTGTCTTTTATGTAATTTTAAGTTTACTTACTGTTAGTTTAGGTCTTGAAAAAAAGTTTTGTTGACAATGGTTCGCTTTATTTTAATAAGTTTGGAGTATAAATATTTTTGTTTGTTTTAAATATTTATCGCATACGGTTTATATAGCTTTTTGGTAAATTCTCGACATTTGAGCGACGTTTCAAAAATGTTTCGCCTGTGCCTCTTTTTATCCTCTCGCCCATATTTTTTATTTTCAAAGTTGCCAACCCTAGGTTAAGTGTTTTATCATTCTCTTCCAAGTGCTTTTAGTAATTTGAGATCGTTTGATGACTGATTTAGTTCTGATCCTGGTAGTTTTTTGTATAAAACAGTGCCACCATCGTCGATTTTTTTCGTTAAATGCGAATAAGAAAATATCCTGATTATATTCTGGCCTTATCCCTTATTATTTTTATTTACAAGCGATCTTAAATTTATAACATATACATATATTTTATTTAATATTATAATATATTATATATAATATTATTATAATATATTAATTGTTAACATTAGGGTAGTTCTACCATTTGTATATGTGTGGAATTCCACTGATATGTGTTTTAAGTTGTTTGTTAAATTTTTTAAATTTTTTGATTGCATTATGCGCTCTTAACTTTGTAGTGTCCTGAAGATGCAAATAAATTTTGCGAAACGTCGACAAATTTAAAACAAAGGACTTCTGTTGATTTTTTTCGATCCTAATCCAATTAAAAAACACAGTATACTTAAATTTATTAATTATTTTTTTAAAATATTGAATGGTATCGAATAATACTTTAATATATTTATCAATATTTTAAAGTATCGATACTTTATATTCAGTACAACCGATACCAAAATATCGATACTGCCTCAGTATCGCATAGCCCTATGAAGAATTTTGTGGGTTCGCCAAAAGCTCCACTGAAAATGGATAGCCGCGAGACAACGCCGTTCGACTGGGCAGGGACTCTGCTCGAGGCTAAATCGCTCGGCTCGAGGCTATAATATGACGAATTCCGCTTGAGGTTGACTCGTCTCGTCCTCGTCTCGGCATATTAGTACGCCTTTTGGAAAAAATTTGCTATAGCCTCGTTTCATACTCGTTTCGGGTTTGTCTCGTGCCTCAGCATGTTATACGCGGCAATATGCCGAGACGAGGACGTGACGAGTCAACCTCAAAGCGGAATTCGTCATATTATAGCCTCAGAGCCGAGCGATTTAGCCTCGAGCAGAGTCCTGCCCAGTCGAACGGCGTTATAACGGCTATCATTTTCAGGTGGGCGAACCCACAAAATTCTTCATAGGGCTATGCCATACTGAGGCAGTATCGATATTTTGGTATCGGTTGCATTGAATATCATTAATTATGAATATATCATTATTTATCAATATTTTAAAGTATCGATACTTTAAAATATTGATAAATATATTAAAGTATTATTCGATACCATTCAATATTTTAAAAAATTAATTTATAAATTTAAGTATACTGTGTTTTTTAATTGGATTAAGATCGAAAAAAATCAACAGAAGTCCTTTGTTTTAAATTTGTTGACGTTTCGCCAAGACCCTGTAAGAAAACAAGCTACAATCAAAATTTAAAAGTAACAAGCTAACCTATCAATTCCACATAAACAGTGGTAAAAACTTACCTAATGTAACAATAAGGAAGCCAGTTTTACAACATTAGTAATGTTAACAATTAAATAAAATATATGGCATATTTATAAATTTAAGGCGCTTGTAAATAAAAGCATGAGAGACAAAACAAAGCATCGACGATGGTGGTACTTGTTTTATACAAAAACAAGTCAGAACTAAATCGGTATCATCTCGCTGAAAAAATGATAAAACAGCAAGAGGTGGCAACTTTGAAAAACAAAAACAGGGGCGAAGGATAAGGGCACAGGCGCCCCAGGCTGCGTCATCTGGATAAACTGGTGGCGCGAAAATATTTAAAACAAACAAAAATATTTATACTCAAAACTTAAAATAAAGCAAACCATTGTCAACAAAACTTTTTTTCAAGACATAAACTAACAGTAAGTAAACATAAAATTACATAAAAGACACAGATTAACAATTCTTTAAAGCATTGTGGCGATAAACGAATATTTTTTAGATTTTAAAGTTGGTATGCAACAAAGTTTTCAATACGTGAGAGAAAAGAGGACAATCAGATCAAAAGAGGACTGTTTCTGGAATGGAGGACGGTTGCGAACTCTATTTTAACCCCCTGTAGCTACGAATCAAAGCAGAATTGGATTGGTTGATATAAAAAATAAATCTTATTTTTACGTGAGGAACTTCCCCACGAGAGATGGAACATGTTTTTAGAAACACCCTGTATATGTTTGTTTAATTTCAAAATAGGTAAAAAAACAAGCTAGATAAATTAAAGGAATTCATGATAAATTTAAATTATATTGGGACTGTTTACATAAAAAAAAACTGGAGAACGCCGACTGAGCTACCTGGAGATAACGGCACGGCAGCGGCGGCGGCGGAGCCTTCTGCCATTGCCATTTTTTTGAGTCTTTAATTATTTTATTCAATAATATATTTTGTATGTGGTTTGTATATCTATAAAAAATTTTCTATAGTTTGTATATCTATAAATTTCTATAAACAGCGCTTTCAGATGGAGCGCTGGTACGCGCGGGATGGTACGCGCAGAGCGTCCGCACGGATGTTTTTTTCAAGATAGCTCATCCGGACGGAGCATACGCGATTCAGGTGAAATTGTTCATATAAGCTCATGGTACTTGCTCGAAGTCGCGGACGGTCCGTCGCGGACGCTCCGTTCCATTTGAAAGCGCTGTAAGATAAAACCTAATTCGACTTTATTTATTTAAAAAATTATAAATTTAAGTAATTAAGATTTAAATTATTAATTTAAAAATCTACATTTAAATGCCAATAACTAACCTGGAACATATATTGTAAATGATATATCTGCATTTCTTCATTTCTAAAGTTGTATATTTTTTCAAGGTATTCACACACACAATTCGCCACATTATTATTCTATGGCTTTCCATCATTGCAGCACGCTTATTAATAATTTTTAAAATATTATTATGTATATAATTTTAAATCTAATTCCCAGTTTTTTAAACCTTCGCCGTAATGTGCTTTCTGAACAGGTTTTTTTTAAAGCTCGGAGAGTTTTTTTTTAATTATTTCTATGGCGGGAACTTTATTATTTTCATATTTGCCATAAATTAAGTTTCTTAGTAGTCTGGATAGTTCAAATTTTTGGATTTTTCTATATCTTTCCTTTGTCGATTTTTCTAGACCTTTCTTTGTCGATCCCCTTAATTTATGAGAGTACCGTAAGGAATGCTGGGAGCATGGCCACCTTTTTCAACACACTCGATTTGCCTCTCTTATCTTCTATGTATCCTATATGTAAAGAAGCTTGTTTTACATCTTTAATTCCGTTCAGCAGAAATAGCGCATAATTTACGTTTGAGCCCTTAATAACTCGACGAAAAGTTCATTACGTTTATTCGACCCTATAAAACCCTCATGTCTCAAAAGAAATCACTAATAAATATCTTTTGTATATGAGCCTGCAGCACACATGCTATTTTAAGAAAGAAGACTGCGTCTTTCAGACCAGGATGCGTGTATATTATTACAAAATAAAGGAAAGAATATTGTTATAAAAATGCGGGATGCGGAATCGAACTGGGCGCGCAGGCCACGGAGACACTGTGCGCCCAAAAACGGAGATAACGCCGTCCGGCTGGGCATAGGCTCGGCTCGAAGCTCAGACCCCGTCCAAATATGACGAGTCAACCTCAAATCCGCTTGAGGTTGACTCGTCTCGGGTGTCTCTCGCACTCGTCTCGACATATTTATACGCAGCTTAAAATATCACCAACGTATATCCGATGAACAGATGCATGAAAATGCAATAAATTTAAAAACTGCGTTATTTTCTAACCAATCAAAGTCTTTAAATTCTACCAATAAAATTAATATCGTATCAACGTATCGTCGGACAACGGATGCATATGAAATCAAGCTTAACGGTTCTCGAGTAATTTGGAATCGAAACAATCAATACATATCAACACTGACATAAATTAAACATGTTGACTAGATAGTTGATAGACTAAAACAGTAAATTCGAAATGGTTTTGTTTTAAAGGTTTGACTTGTCTTTGATTTGATGGAAACTGTTTTATAATAAATAAACTTTCGTTGACCCAGTCTCAGTTCATTATAAAAGAATATTTTCCTAATGCGTGAACAAAGACAGAAATTTCACAATATTGTAAAAAAAATATTTTTTTCTTCATAAATAAGAGGGTCATCATCAGAATAGCCCTCTTATTTTATTAATTAACATTTACGACGATATTAACGTAAAAAAGGTCTCTTGGTAAAAATCGCTACGAGTAATGGTTCTCGAGATATTTGGAATCGAAATTATCAATACCTGTCATCCATGACATAAATTAAACATGTTGACTAATTATTAGTTATTAGACTAAAATCATAAATTTGAAATGTTTTTGTGTGAAAAGTTTAACAGAAATTGTTTTATCATCATTTTTCCGCAGAAAAATTTATGATTAATTAAAAAAAAATTCCCAAAAATTTATTATTTCAGTTAAATAACTATCTACTGAACGTGTTTATTTGTTGTCAATAATGACATGTATTGACCATTGGCGTAACTACAGGGGTGCCGGCCCCCTCCCGCGGTACTGCTGGGCACCCTCCCAGGGAAATCTTGAATTATGACTCTTGGCTACGTATTAATTTTTGTGATGTAGTAAAATGACGTTTTCTAGTTTTGTTTAGTTAATATTATTTTGTTGTGTTCAAAAATGTGTTAATTTTTATTTTTTAGAAAATTTGTAGGTATTTATGTAATCTACAGGAACACGGTTTGATAACCAAGTCTATAAAATTTATTGATAGAGAAATTCATGTAAACGTTTTTTTTCAAAAAATGTGTATTTATATTATCCTTCATTTTTTAAAAACAAAAACCCTAGGCCCCCCTGGGTTCAACCCCAGGCCCCCCCAGGACAAATTGCTAGTTACGCTAATGGTATTGACTATATCCATTCGAAATATCTTGAGAACGGTTGCTCGTAGCGATTTTTAGCAAGAGACATTTTTTACATAGAAAGTCACAAAAATTTATATTTTTTGACTCAGTAGTTTTATACAGGTACGGACGAAAAGTTATTACTCTTCAAAACAGGTAAAAGTGTTAAAACACATGTAGGTGGCCCCCTACAAACAGGACTCATATTGACATCAAAATCAAGTTTCTCACGTCAAAAAACTCCCAGACACCAACTTTCGTCCAAATATTGACATCATTTCAGAAACTATTTGGAAAAAATCGAAATAAAAATGAAACTTCTACACCCTGTATCTCCGAAACTAAGCATTTTAGGACATACATTTATACGAACTTTTTTACTTATTTTTATCTGCAGAATATGCTGCCGATGTTTCCGGAATACAGTTCGGATCACCCTGTATATTCATTGTTTATTTTTTTGTCAACAATTATTGACTTTTCAATCTTGAGACAATCTTGAGAACGATTGCTCGTAGCAATTTTTTTATCAAGAGACCTTCTTTACGTAAAAAATAACGGAAATTTATATTGTTTCATTCAGTAGTTTTATACAGATATGGAAGAAAAACAGTTAAAAAAACGTAGGTGGCGCCCCCTGCCAGTAGGAGTCATATTGACATCGAAATCAAATTTATCATGTCAAAAAACACCGAGGTACCATTTTTTAGCCAAATATCTGAAAGTTAAGTTCTAAAATATCTAAAGTTAAGTTCAGAAATTATTTGGATAAAACCGAAATGAAAAAAAATGAAAAATGAAACTTCCTCGTTGTCGTAAATGTATATGTATCTCCGAACTAAGCATTTTAGGACATAAATTTATACGATTTTTTTTACTTACTTTTATCTGCAGAATATGATGCCAAAATTTTCCGAATACAATTTGGACCATCCTATATAATGGATTATTTTATTCGTTCCGTTAAACGATTATCTGATTTTTTTTCAGCCCACAAATGGAAGGTTCCTTGCATTTGATTATCTCCAATTCTATGTTGGCAACGCTAAACAGGTAAATTTATAACAATTTTTTTATGCTGATAAACCACAGAGAAAAGTCCCATACTCACTTTTCGCTGATTCAGTTCGTCGATGTAATTCGTTGGTTCGTTTAGAAATTCGTCCATTCTGTTCGTGTTATTTCTTTTGATGGTTCCGCCAAAAACCGACCTTCCGTCAAATCCACGAGTATGAGCGTTATACTTTGAGTATTATCCTTTACTATTCATATAACAATAACTTGCATTATATCTTTGAATAATAAGTTTATTTAAGAAAAAAATTATACTGGGTGGGACATCTCATTCGCCTCGGTTTATTATACGAAAACGGAAAGATGTAGAAACAAAATATTTTATCGGTATGTAGTGGAGTAAAAACGATATGAAAATTTTTTTGGAGGTATACCTACATGATATCTACACAGGATTATCAGTTAGGGCTTTGCGCATGTGAAATGACTAATTACGACCTTTTTTGGGGGGGGTCAGAAATTTGTTATCCGGGAAAATGTCAAAAATCTGTCAAAATTGTATAACCATGTTTTTTTACCTTTCCTACGCGATAACTCCTAAACTAATCAACTTATTCACATACTCTTTTTTTAATCGATTGAGAACACATAGGCGATGATAGCTGAAGTAATTAAAGTTCCATAGTGAGTGTATTCTTTTTTGGAAAATGGATTAAACTTCAAACATTAACTTTATTGTATCGTGATTTTCGGTAAGCGAGAAACTTTTTGATTTGAAGGAATTTTTACATAGTAACTGCGTATGAAATAAAGAAAAAATATTGAAAAAGTTTTTAAAACTTGTTACAACATTCTATTATTAATATTTTTAGTTATTCTGATTTAAAGTTATCATTATACCGTGCGCGGGCTGTAGAGACGCCGCGCTATACCGCCCGGTCTGCATCACGTTGTACGGCGTGCTAGATGTGGCATTAATTTATGTTTTAGAGTAAATGTAGAAAATTCTTTTTCAGTAATTATTTAATATCTGAGTAATACATATGTCGGTGTTGATTTAATATGACATTTTATTTTTGTAATAAATAATATAATAAATAAAAAAAACATGAAAAAAACATTATTTTTATTACATAATAAGGACATATCTTGAAGTTTGCATAGGATTGAATCTCTTTTATTAAACTAAGAATTTCTTCTTTTAATATAGGCGTTATTATTTGTGTTTTCTGATTATGCTCTTCATACCACTTACATAGAGATTTAAAAAAAAGCCTAAAAAGAGCATCGGCAACTAAAGTTATTCCTTGAAAAAAGCCAGATTAAGGTGTATTCAGCCTAGCATAAATGTTAATTTCCCATGTAATCATTTAGGATTATTCCGCAATATTTCGCGAGCTTTTGAATAAATGACCAAGTGTGCTGTTATATAAATATGGTTTTATTTTAAAGTTTGTGCTAAATCTACTAATCTTACCATCGAAGTATATATTATGGTATCACATTCGGTAGGTGGATAAGCAAGTAAAATATTTTGGAGACAAAAAATTCGTTGTCAACTAAAGTGTTGTTAAAATCAGTCCAGTTTAAAAAGTTTCTTCGTACTGTGAGCAGTAATTTTCGGCGGCCATGGAACAGAATACTTTGTGGAGAAGAACTATATATTTTATGCATAAATATTATTGCCACAAATGTATGTTAATCAATAAGGTGTTATATAATTAGTTTTATTGATGGTGATGAGGGACTGGAATAGTCAGTCGTTGTATAGTCGTTTGAGAGTCAGTCTAGGCGGGACACGGCTCGTTTTCTATTTTCTGTGTTCAAGTATGAAAAATAATAAAATAATCAAAGCAGTGGTTGTCCTTTAGTCGATTAGTTTAGAGTACTTAACACTGCAAATAATTTGCAATGCTAGATTCTTTTTTTAGATTTTTTTCTTCTTCGAATATTTTTTTTAGATTCTTTTATACCCAACGTAATAGATTTTAATTGGGCTAGATAATATTTATTTGATCTCTAACTAGAACAAAGTGTTGTTACAAAGCCTAATAAGCATGGAACAATGTTAAAATTGAATTAACTTAAAACCAATAATACTTACATTATATGACTACAGTTGAGTAAAAACATAGATATACATAAATATGTATGTATATCGCATTTAATATTAAATAAATATTTATATGTAGAGCCCGCTTTAGAATACGCTTTAATAATTTATTTTATATGATTTATTTAATATTAAATACTATTTGTTCTAGATCAAATAAATATTATCTAGCCTAACATCCTCCATTAAAATCTATTACGTTGGGTAGAAAAGAATCTAAAACAAGAATCTAGCATGGCAAATTATTCGCAGTGTTAAGTAGGAAGAAACTTTTTTAAACTGGACTGATTTTAACAACACTTTAGTTGACAACGAAATTTGCAAAATTTCCAAAATATTTTACTTGCCATTTTTACAATCCACCTACCGAATGTGATACCATATACTTTGATGGTAAGATTAGTAGATTTAGCACAAACTTTAAAACAAAACCATATTTATATAACAGCACACTTGATCATTTTTTATTCAACACCTCGCGAAATTATTACGGAATAGTCCTAAATGATTATATGGGAAATTAACATTTATGCTAGGCGGAATGAACCTTAATCTGGTTTTTTGTCAATATTTGGTATATTTTTGGAGATGGAGGCCTTTTTGTCATTTTTAGGGAAACAGATAATTACGTCTAAAATACTTGTACAAGATGAAAAATAATATTCCAGGGCTATTCGAGGAATAACTTTAGTTGCCGATGCTCTTTTTAGGCTTTTGTTTAAATCTTTATGTAAGTGGTATGAAGAGCATAATCAGAAAACACAAATAATAATACCTATATTAAAAGAAGAGATTCGTAGTTTAATAAAAGAGTTTCAATCATATGCAAACTTCAAGATATGGCCTTATTATGTAATAAAAATAATGTTTTTTCATGTTTTTTTTATTTATTTATTATTTATTACAAAAATAAAATGTCATATTAAATCGACACCGACATATGTGCTACTCAGATATTAAATAATTACTTAAAAAGAATTTTCTACATTTACTCTAAAACATAAATTAATGCCACATCTAGCACGCCGTACAACGTGATGCAGGCCGGGCGGTATAGCGCGGCGTCTCTACAGCCCGCGCACGGGATAATGATAACTTTAAACCAGAATAACTTTAAAAATGTTAGTAATAGAGGGTTGTAACAAGTTTTAAAAACTTTTTCAATACTTCTTCTTTATTTCATACGTAGATACTATGTAAAAATTCCTTCAAATAAAAAAGTTTCTCGCTTACCAAAAGTCACGATACAATAGAGTTAATGTTTGAAGTTTAATCCATTTTCCAAAAAAGAATACACTCACTATGGAACTTTAATTACTTCAGCTATCATCGCCTATGTGTTCTCAATCGATTAAAAAAAAGAGTATGTGAATAAGTTGATTAGTTTAGGAGTTATCGCGTAGGAATGGTAAAAAAACATGGTTATACAATTTTGACAGATTTTTGAATTTTTCCAGATAAAAAATTTCTGACCCCCCCAAAAAGGTCGTAATTAGTCATTTCACATGCACAAAGCCCTAACCGATCATTTCATAAAGATGTTATGTGGTTATACCTTCAAAAAAATTTTTTCGAGAAGGAAGCGACTTTTCTCAGTGATTTTACTCGACTAATATGTGGGGAGACAATGTGCACAATTTAAAATTATTTTGAAATTAACAGGGTGTTTCAGAACTAAAAGATCCATACCAAAGTTATATTTTTCTTATGGAACTTCGGTATTTTATTTAATTTTTGGATTCCTGGGACCAAAAAAGGCATTTATTATACGGGTTAAATATGTTTAAAATCTTTGGTTTTTGAGATATTTAAAGATATTTAAATTTACATGCTACAATAGAATCGATTATTAACACCCTGTACATTAATTTTTAATTAATTCTTATGCTGAGTTTAAAGGTAGAGAAATAAACTTTACTGAAAAATGGTATTGCTTTCTTAAATTTATACAGGGCTATCAAAAGTTGCTGATCTGTTTTAAGGATATATTTTATATAAAAACTTCGTTATTTCAAATGCAACACCCTGTATTTTTTTAAACAAATCGAAGCAGATTCAAATGCTCTTTCAAACTATATTGGGTTTCCTATACCTATCTAGCTCAGATTTTGAATAAAAAGCCGATTTTTAAATAATAATACTTCAATCAAGATGGCTGGTGTCGCCATGGCAACTTTCTAGTGTCTATTTTCAGAGTGGACATTAGTTTATGGATATTATTATTTATAATTTATAACAATTTACTTAAATTTAAAAAGCAGTAAGTATCTGCTGGTAGAACGAATAGATAGGTTACTAGTGATTTTATTTTGTGAGGAAAATTGCTGCTTGGCCTCAAGGGCGTATGCTTAAATATATCCATATAGGAATTTTCCTGATAAACGTCCCTTTGAAGGACTACTTCAGAGAAAAAAAAAATTACCGTCTTATTTCGCAGAACTGGCAGTGTGTGGTTTCTAAAAAACCTATTTGACAGAAACCTGTCGTTGGAAGTGAAGAAAATGAATTAGCTCTTTTATAGAAAATCCATATATCTACCAGTCATTGTAAAATAAATCAAAGAACTACTTCTTCGTTTTTCTTGATAGAATAATAAATATTATTTATTAAATATTATTTGTTAAATATTATTTACTAAATATTATTTATTAAATATTATTTATTAAATTATTGTAGGTAAATTAAATAAAAGTAAACTGGTATAAATTTAAATAAGTCCATAAACTAATTTCGATTTTGAAAATAGTTACTAACTGTCACTAGAAACTTGCCATGACACTAGCCCTCTTGGTTGCCATTTTATTGAAAAATTAATCTTTATTCAAAATCTGAGCTAGTTAGGTATAGGAAACCGTAATATAGTTTGAAAGAGCATTTGAATCTGCTTCGAGTTATTTAAAAAAATACAGGGTGTTGTATTTGAAAT